TCTATATCTATATCTATATCTATCTCTATATCTATCTATCTATCTATCTATATCTATATCTATCTCTATCTCTATCTCTATCTCTATCTCTATATCTATCTATCTATCTATCTATCTATCTATCTATATATCTATCTATCTATCTATCTGTCTGTCTGTCTGTCTGTCTATCGATCTATCGATCTATCGATCTATCTATCTATCTATGTTTTTCTTTCTTTTGTCTGCTTTTCTTTCTGTGTGTCTTTCGTTCTTGCTTGCTTGCTTGCTTGCTTGCTTGCTTGCTTGCTTGCTTGCTTGCTTTATTTCTTTCTTTATTTATTTCTTTCTTTATTTCTTTCTTTCTTTCTTTCCTATCTACCTATCTATCTATCTATCTATCGACCTACGAAATCTGCACTTCAAGGTCCACAAAGTACTGCGCCTGCCACGAAATCTGCACTCCAAGGCCCACAAAGTCCTGCACCTGCCACGAAATCTGCACTTCAAGGTCCACAAAGTACTGCGCCTGCCACGAAATCTGCACTCCAAGGCCCACAAAGTCCTGCACCTGCCACGAAATCTGCACTCCAAGGCCCACAAAGTCCTGCACCTGCCACGAAATCTGCACTTCAAGGTCCACAAAGTACTGCGCCTGCCACGAAACACGAAAAACAGAAAAGATCCCAAACAAAAACCAGAAACAATCCTAAATTAAATCCGAGCCTGTTGTGCCATAGGGAACCCATCATCCGAACAAGAGCCCATCATCGGACTCTTGGCACAGGACGAGTTGCATTTGAATTGATGAGTGACCAGAATTGGACCACAACAAGTGGCCTCATATGCCAGTCCAGCCCGTGTGCTGAACCCTCAAACCTCTCCCGAGCTCGAGTCAGAATCCACTTTCCTTTAACAAGTCCAAGAATGCTGTATGTTCCACTCGGGTAATTGTGTGGTAGTTGCCAGCTGGAAGCATCGAGAAGGCGGTTGCTTCCGATGTCCGCAGTTGCATTCACAAGCTAGTCACAGCAATAGACATGTGGGTGGTGGTTTAAGGATATGTTCAATCTTCAGAAAAGGTTTAGAAGGAAAAGTCTACAGGAAACCCCAAGTTTTTGGGGGTGATTCTACAGGGGTTTCCTGTAGATTTTCCCTTAAACCAATTCATTGATTGACGAGATGATACCAGTGACCAATAAATTTGAAGTGAGTTGAAAGCACTAGGCAGACATCAAGAGACCAATCTCATTTGCTGGGTGTTTCCCTTGAGTCAACTGTGTCCGGACGGAGTTTCCCTTGGGCAGGAAGAAGAGCGTTTCGACAAAGCCATGGAGTCAGTAGAAGTTCTATCCTCGGTTTGAAGATTGGACAAAATCTATGGCATCTCATCTATGCATCTCATCTATTTTGGTCTTTTTGCTGGGATGGTTCAGAATGGAAAGAGCTTCGGGCTGAGCATCCTCTCACCAACCCGAGCTCCCTCGATCGCTCCATCAGAACATGGTAGAACTCCTCTAGCCAACATGCGACAAAACGAACACATCGTAAAACATAACATATATTCAAGTAAAATCCAATATGAATCCTTGTGAAGCCATGCACTTGTTCCTAGTAGCTTCTTGTTACTACTAGTAAGGCACTTGTTACTACTAGCGTGGCACTTGTTACTAGTAGCTTCTTGTTTCTAATAAAGTAAAATCCAATATGAATCCTATAAACGGCTTTTTTTCCCAACGCACAACCTTCCCATGTCCGTCCGATCCTTGTTCTCTCCAAGCTACTCGCGGACACTTCGGAGTACTCGGCGAGGATACGCTCGGTCTGCTCCGTCACTCCGCGAATAAACCGCACCGTTCCTCATGTCACCAGGCGAGTTCAACAAGAGGAACCGCGACAGCTTCCTGGACGAGTGCATTCGACTCAAGGAGCTGAGCCGACGATGGTTTTTGTTTGGGGTTTAGCTCACCTGGGCGCGGAGGGCTCAGAGAAGTGCCGTTTGGATCCTTTTGGATGAGCAAAAAAAGAAACACTAGAATAGAGAAAATGTATGAAAATGTTTACAAAGGTAAGGTACATGCTGCATGAGGTGTTTTGTTTTGTTATATTTTGTTATGTTGGTACCTTCCTTTTTTTGTTGTCTATTTATGTCTATTTAAGTCTCATCCTTAAACCTAGGGCCATGGTCCTGGGGCGCCTGAGACTATTGGACACATGGGCTATCACAGGCGTTCGTCACATGTTCATCTGCCTGGGTGGTCTCTCTGACGTTCCTTTTACTGTCCTTCTCCAGTTCTTCGTTCGTCCTTCGTTCTTTTTGAAGCAAAAGCCGGTTCTGTTTCGAACTAAAACACGTCAGTTCACTGTTCATTCCACTGGTCAGTGCATTTACATCGTTTTCTTCTCGGTTCCTCTTCACCGTTCCGCACCGTTCCGCACCGTTCAACGTTCACCGTTCCGCCCCGCTTCCAGAATGACATCCCGGCGCCGGGACGCTACGACCTGAAGAGCGTCCTGGAGAAGGGCGCCGTGCGGATGTCGTTCGGGACACCCAGAACGCCATCCGCGTTGTCTCGTCCGGAGCGATCGGGCGCGAACGAGTCCGGGGCGCTCCTGGCAGAGCCTACTAGCAACAAGAAGCTACGTTCGTAGCTAGAAGCTACTAGGTCGGAGGCCTTCGCTAGTAGGTTGGAGGCCATTGCTGTTAGTTAAGATGCCCTATTAGCTTGTTTGGTCATGTTTTTTTGTCTGTGGCCGGTGCAGTCCGAGTCACGTCCTTGCCGAGAGCGGATCCCAGCGTTCAGCTGGTGCTTTTTGAGGGTATGGTTGTCTCTAGAGGTTTGATGTGGCTCCATGGGCATGAGAAGTTTGCATCAAAAAGTTATGACAAGTGTTTGAGTATGAACTGGATTCCAATGCTTCCAATGGCGTTCGGTTGGAAGAGACAGGAATTGTGTTGTTGCGGAGTTCAGTGGGTTTTCCAACTGGGTTGGCTAGCATGGATGGATCTAGCGTCATTTACTCCCATTGAGAGATCCTTTCCGAGACAGTTTTGCAGGGGACTTACTTGTCAATTTGTTTCGTGGCATAAGTTTCGACAGACTGATCCATTTTCATTCAGCCGTGCAAGACTTGAAGACACCACTGAGCTGAGAGCGAGTAAAGCCGAATCTCACTCACCATGTCTTGGTCAATGTCCCTATCACCAATCATCAATTCACGAAGAGCCTTTCCTTGACTTCTTTTTGCAGGCGCGAGCGCATCGTGGACGAGAATTTAGACAAGCACTCTGCCAAGAGGCCTGGCGCCGGACGCTCGCACGTTGGGTCACGCTGGCGCACGCTGGCGCACGCGCCATGGGTGCATGGTTTTTGTGGCTTAAGTAGCAAGAAGCTACTAGGAACAAAGGGCATTGCTACTAGGTTCAAGGAGCTACTAGTAGTTCCTGGCCATACTAGTAGTAGCAAGAAGCTACTAGTGGCTAGAAGCTACTATGCCTTTAAGAAAGTCCAGAAACCCGGAGATGTGTTGTTTTTTGCTTGTTCGATTGACCAAAGGGTGGGCTACGGTAAGGCTAGCGCTCAAAACAACCGCAGTTCGGACGGCCAGAACAGAGTGGAGAAAAGTGGGTGGGAAGCTGGATGTCAACTTTGTGTTTGATGGTCCTCTATTTGTATAGCTGCGAACAAGTGCTCATGGAAAAACAACAAGTGCTCATGGTTCCGATGCCGGCATTTGCTCAAGGCCCCAGAACCAGCTCAACTCATCATTTCGAGGTAAGTGCTTTGTCTCCCAAAAAAAGGAGAAACGGTTGAGTCTTCGATGCTCCAACAAGCTCCTTGTATATACCTAATAGTTCTACGTTGCTTCTTCATCTCCGGCCTCGTCCGATCAACCGAAGAACCTGGCCTCGTCCACTCTTTGGGTCCCGTCACTCGTCGGCCCATCGACCGGTCCGCGAGGTATCCCAGTTGGGCGCGACCTTCGACCGAGACTCCAGGGTCCGCGGGTCGCGGAAGGGTTTGGGGGGAGAGTGAGATGTGTGACACGTTGGGGTTGGAGAGTTGGAAGGGCCGTTTCAGGAAAGTGAAGGGGTTGGAGAGTTGGTTCGAAGATGGTGGAGGTGGAGGGAGCAGGAGAATGCAGTAGATGTTCCTTTACAAGCAAGGGTAGCAAGGGGATTGTCCACATCCATGCTTTTTGCTAGAGAGAGGATGCCTTATGGGGAGTCCGAAGGCATAACTTGTAACATCTTGCTGACGCAGAAAGACTATCTAGGCAGACTAGAGCTGAAACCACTGACCTTTCAGGGAAATGACCAGCCATTATGGGTGAATCTTCCAGCCCCAAACCCCAAACCCGCCGGTGCACCGTCTATCACCGTCTTTATAGCCTATCAGTGAAAAGGTTCCCATAGACCTTACCTGAAGGTCTGAAGGAAAAAAAATACACATCTGCGAACTTCCAAGACGAAAGCGCTCGGGTTCCCCACATGTTTTCGCCGTTTCCTTCAAGACGCGCACGTTGCTCGCTGAGGCCCGCGGGCTACAGTGTGGACGATTACACCCGGAAGGAGGCGAAAACAGCGGGTCGGCGGGGAAGGTTTGGCCGTGGATTGCAGGACAATCCTGAAGAATAATAGCAATAAGCTACTAGTATAGCAAGAGGCTTGGAGGTTGGATGCCATCGCTTTTAGGCTGGAACCCATAGTAGCTTCTATAGAAGCTACGAACGTAACAGTAGCCTCCCTGAAGGAATCAGGGTTACGTGGATGGTCTGGGGCCGTGGCTGGAACGGTTCCACCTGAGGGAGGGCAACCGAACCATCCACTGGGCCCTGGTAGTGGGATACACCGTGTAGTTCGGTGGCAGGTCTTTTGCCACATGTTGCCACTGTTCGATGCATCTTTGGAGGTGGTTTGGGTGTAAATCCCATGAAATCCTCAAGGGCTGCACAAGTTTCGCATGATGCCACAAGGTTAGCAGGAAGTAGGAAACAGGTGTGTTTGGGCCATGGGATTCTTTAAAGCACCTTCAGAGTCAGAAAACGCACGCTTCTTCATCTTCTTCTTCCGACGCCCCGGTTTTTCCTGGCCAAGACCTGTGAAATTTATATAGATGCATGCCTCTCTTCGCTCTGACATGAACAAACATCCCTCCCTCCGCAAAGAAAAGGCCTCCATGTTTTCCTGAGTTGTCTTGTTCCAGAGTTCAGCCAGGTAGGGCATACCTAGCCGCCCTAGCCTCAAGAAGGACAACCTCCCTCCAAACATGGAGAGTGGAGTGGCTCCAACCCCTCTTGCGTCTGAGCTCGAACATGGTGGTCCATTCGCATCAACCGGTCCGCAGCGCCCCGAGTTTCGAGGTCATGCGACGTGCGCAGAAGTCCTTGCCGAACCTCACCAGAGACATGCTCAGGTCGGCCTAGTGGGTGGTTCCACCAGTCCTGGTTGGACCACAGCCGGACCTCGTTTGGACCGAACGGAGCGGTTTCTTTTTTTGGTATACAGAAGACCAGGTGTGTGATCAAGTCGTGTGTGTGACACCACCACCATGTTGGAGGCTGTTGTTTCATTCATTTTATCCTGAGCCCTCATTGACATGAAGTCCATTTTCCAGGTCTGAAGGGAAAAACATCAATAAAAATGGTTGGAACTGTTGGCTTTCTTGAGGGATCATGGATACATGTTTGGGTTTCTTTCTCCCGAGCTCTTCATAATAGGTTTACAGTAGGTTTTTCGTGAAATCCTTGCCGCAAAGTGATGTGGGGATTGATATCTGATATCCTGAAGAATCACCAGCAAAAAGAGTGTGCTTTCCAGTATAGTCTTGGGTAGATTGCTGCATCTTCTGGTGCAAGATCTTGTATTCACAGGTGCTTGTTGAGGCAAGTGGCCTTGAAATAAGGGATATTGGACATCAACCGCATGCTGTTCATCATCTCCGTCCGCATGTTTTCTCTTGTCAGATTCCGCTGAAGAGCGCGCCAGGCCTGGCAAAGTCACTGGCTGACCCAATGGTGTCCCGTTGGGCGTGTGTGGTGGGCGTTCCATCGATGGTGCAGGCCTTGCCCGGGTAGCCATGACATCCCATGACCATGAATGGATGGTGAGTGGTTTTTAAGAGGGAAACGACTGCAAGCGACTGGGTTTCCCGCCAAGCTACCATGACTCAAGCCTCACCAGACTCCAAGCTCTTTCAGATGTCCCGGCTTTGTTACTTCGATGTCCGCTTGCTGCGGCGCACTGCTCTGGCATGTGAAGAAGTTCCGATCGATCTATGGTGGAAGTGCATGGTGGAAGGCCCCGATTTCGGAGGAGCAATTTCCACAAAGAAACAGGTGGTGGTCCACGTAACATGATTCCTTCAGGGAGTATCAACCGTGCATGCATTCCTTGTGGCGTACGGTCATTTTGACCGCAGAAGCATCCTGCCTCATGCAGCTTCTATACCCCGCATTCTTTGCCTTCCCATCCTGAGGTTCCCAAAAGGGTAGAACTTGTCATTCCAATTCACTTGCAAAAACGGGAGATCTCCACCACAGCAGTAGGAGCACCCGAATCGCCCGGACAAAGGCACCGGCCGTTCACCCCCAATCACAGCTCCTGCCGCGCGAATGTGTGGCGGGGGACGCAAGCGTTTCACCTTGCAGTGCTTCACCATGCGCTCACCGTGCTGCAAAATGCGTCCAGAACGTTGAACACTCACATCTGACAGATATTGAGAATCAGATTTAGTGAGATTCAGAATCAGGTCAAGTCTACCCAGGAAAAGTGGATGACCTTTAAGCCCCTTTTTGAGGCATTGTGTTTCCCCCCCTAAATACGAACAGATGGAGAGTTCGGTCAACCTTTTCCCTCAGGGAAACTGAGGAAGTCTGCAAATGTGTTCTAGTGTCATCAATGACCTGAGCTTTGAGACATTGAGCATACGTCTGGCTTTGCGTTGTTAGATGATTTTTCAGCTTTTTCCTGTGTGGGTAAATCCCCTTCTGGTGTATATGTATAAGTACTGTATAATATTTCTTCCCAGGTTCCTCAAGCAAATCCAAGTACGTGAAGTCTTGCTTGGAGTTCTTGATCCGTGCACCTTCCAAGTGGGCCGGTCTATATCTACTTTGAAGTCTCCATTTCGGAGACCTGCAGAGTCGGGTGCTGGTAGTATAGATCATTCATTGTAGACATGGAGTGCCACAATTTGGTTTGATGGGGGGTGGTTGGCAAATCAAGATTCGGGTGGTTGGCAACTGCATTATAGATTCAGTGTACTGTGGCTACGCGCAGATGTTCAGAACAGAGCCACCCATAGCCACCCTGTGACCGCACGGGACCCGGTGCCCTGAAAGGAAACTGATCAAACACTCGGCTTTTTTCGGATGTCCTGCGCCCTATGGCCAAACACGAAGCAGAAGCCGAGAGCTTGATGAAGCAGGTCTGCAGGTCGAAGTCAAGTCCTTTGAGCGTCGCTGCAGGACCCCCATGGCAGACCCCCACGGCTAATCAGGAGAGAAGATCAACTGAAAGCTACATATCGGTGACTCTTGTGATGAGCCTCACCTTCATAATTAAACGTACATCTTTTCGAGGGGCATTGGGGAGGATCAAAGAAGGAACTAACCCTGCGAGTCCAAGGCTCTGACGATGGATTCACTACGAGGTCAAGTAGTGATGGCTTCTTGTTACTACTAGTAAGGCACTTGTTACTAGAAGCGATGCACTTGTTACTACTAGCGTGGCACTTGTTACTAGTAGTGATTTGCTTCGTCAAGTCACGGAAGTTCTGGGTCAGAACTCTTCATGAACGGCCTTTTCCAGTGGCGACCCGACGGGCCGACATGGGCTGTTTCGCACCGACGAACCGAAGAACAGGGAGGACCCGGAACCGACTGGTCTCCGACACCAGTGCGACCGTTGAAGACGAGAAAACGATCAAAAGGAACCCACATTTGTATCCTTAAATTAAATTAACTAATAGCTTCTTGTTACTCGGCATGAACCAAGAAAACTCGGCATGAAGACACCGGTGGTTTGGACCGCCATTTCGGTGAGTGAACACGATCGAACGAAAGAAACCGCTTCAATTCCGAGCTAGTAGAAACAATAGAAACAATAAGCTACTAGCTTCTTGTTACTACTAGTAAGGCACTTGTTACTGCTAGTAAGGCACTTGTTACTACTAGCGTGGCACTTGTTACTACTAGCGTCAAAAAGGAACCCACATTTGTACCCCTAGTCATGTCCGTCTTCAAGACGAGACTGAAGTTGCAATGTGTGGGGAGAGAAATGATCTTTTGTTTCTTTTTCGATCAAAAGGGCATCCACTGGAAGCTATCGTTGACCCCGCTCCAAAGGTGAGTAACGACATCGCTACGGACTAGTAACAAGAAGCTACCAGTAGCTTCTTTGCTACTATAGTGCAGTAGTAATGCACTTGTTACTCATTGTTTGCCGCGTTCTTTGGTCACGTGGGGCACGTCCTCGTGCGCGAGGCATTCTCCTGTCTCTCAAAGGACCGACCGAGTCTCACATTTCGTCTGCTGACCCAGCGCCCCACCCGTCGTGCCCAAGAAAGAGGCGCTCAATATCCTGCAAGTAGCGTCCGATCGCTACGAACGGAACAAAGGGCATCGCTACGAACGGAGCAAGAAGCTACAAATCTGGCTCCTGGCTATATATACTACTAGGAGCAAATAGCTACATTCGTAGCGTCCTCTTGCTCCATTCATAGCGATGCTCTTTGTTACTGCTATCTGCTACTAATGAGGCCAGGAGATCTATGAAGTCGAAAAGACAGAGGTGGTTTGGTTTGTGTCTTTTTCAGAGATCGAGTCGTCGGCAGATTCTTCTTCTCCGACTTCTGCACAGAGAAGGTGAGAAGATGATACAATGTTAGGGGAGGGTTTGAAGTTCGACATCTGAGTATGTGCACAAAAAGTCTAAATATGTTGTTTTGCTGGTTTCGTTGGTCCAAACCACAATCAATTTGCATTGTTAAGATTTGCTTGGAGAACCGGGGAAGACACTTTAGATGCGAACAAGTTTGAGCTATTGTCCACCAGACACGGATGCGATGCGTGGTAGACACAAGGCACCAGGGGTGCTGGACACCAGGCTGCGTCTCAGCGTGTCTCACTGCGTCTCACGTGCACGAGCGGAATCGTGATCGTCTGTGCAGACCGGGGCGCAGGGCATATTCATGACATGACAAAAGTCCACATGACAGAAGGTCGACGTGACAGAAGTCCATAGCTTTTGTCAGGGTCATAAAGGATTCTTCTTTATGTCAGATTCTGTGAATACCGGGTGCTTTACGTCAGGTTCGAGACCGTGCCAGGAGTTGAGACACGAGACCAGTCTACCGTCTACCCCAGTCTACCGTCGGGCGACCAGTCGAGGCAAGGTCGAGAGACCGACCCTTCTGTTGAGGTTGATGAATGCCATATGTTGGTTATTTTCTATTGTATGTTGGTTATCTTGGGAATGCTCATGGAATATTATATGGTTATTTGGTTATTTGGTTATCTTATGGAACAATATCTTATGGAATTACAATACTGATGGGTTGGCAATAAAGAGATTCTCCAGTTCCCGGCCCTTAAATCGTCCGTGCTTTTTGATATGGTCAGTCTGTGGTGTTGCCAAGATCACCTGCCAGTCACAAGGGGGATCGCTGAGATATCGCTTTTGATCACCAATTGACTTGATTCTTCATGGGGGCATCTCTATCCGCAAGGACATCTCTCTTTGCTCAGTTGATGGATGCCCCTGCCTTGGTCAGGATCGGCAGTGACAGGTAAAAAGCTTTGGCCAGCAGGTGGTGGGAAGGGGTCAGGACTTGAAAACAGGATGAGTTGGATTTGTACTACAGGCATCTCTCCAAGTATCTAGAATACTGGTACATATACTTTGGACATAGGTCCCCTACAGAAATAATCAGTTGATGCCAGAGGGAAAGTGGCCCAAGGATAGAAAGGTGAGTCACCTTGTGAGAACACATATTTCTCTTCTTCGGACTGAGGTCTGTGCTTTCACTCAGGGAGTCGCGTCTCTTTGCACATGGTCTTTGGGATGTCTTGCGATGGCCTCCAAACGAGCAGTGCGATGGCCTCCAACCTTGTTTTGAACGCCATAAGTTGGAATCATCCAGCTTCTTCAGTTCGTCAACTTGAGGGTTCCTAAGCGACCATTAAGTGACCCTTTGAAGATCTTTGAAGGCATTTTCGTGACCACCACCGAGAATCTCAGTCCTGGTCACGCACTGAAGAACCGGGTATATGGCCTTTTCTATATCTACTATGGGTTGGTTGGTTAATAGAGGAGATGTAACATCCCTTTCCAAAAGATTGCATTCTTCCTCCATCCACTGGAATTCACCGAAGAAAACGGCCCCAAAGCCCCAAACCAGCCGGCCCGGTTTTCTCGGATGGAAGTGAGGTCCTTCTTGACCAAGTGAGGTCCTACATGATCCCCTTCATCTGTTTTTTTCCCCATGAGCTACAGTGTAGCTCGCCGCTCGCCATGTGATGAACGAGCTCGCCTGCTCGCCTACGCATAACATGCGTAACATGCTCCGAGACCTGCTTGTTTACAGACATTGGCTCCATGACTCATGACGTGAGAAGTTCGACCAGAGAAGTTCGCGAACGACCCGAAGCGTGGGAAGCGTGGAAGTTCCCCACAGAAGCAGGCGAGGGAAGCAGAAGCCAAGGAGCTTGGCTGGGGTTGGTCGTTTGGGCCTCACGTGACGTGCCAAAGCTTTTTCGGGTCTCAGTCAGGACGGCATCAAAGGCCTCTAAACTTGGTTCACATGACTCTCCTGTTGCGACAAGCAGCCGCCCGCAACAAATCCGGCTCAAGAATCCATGATGCCGACCTGTGAGGGGCTACCCAACTTCCCTAAAAGAACCTCGTGGATACTGAGAATGTGGTTCCACCCGAGTCAAACGAAAAAATGAAAACACGGGCCGAAAGTCTAATTGGCTTTGCATTGTTTGTATCTTCTTTGTATACAAATCCCTGAATATCGTAGACTGTTTTTGACAAGTTGACCTGCGACAGATCAGAATAGATCCAGAACCGACGCAACTCGAGGCCTCTGTAGAGGTCCTTGCCCTCCTTCGAAGGTCGTTTCAGACACATGACCCAAAGCTGGGTTGTCATCGCATCAATGCCCAAAACAACGAGACTAAAGCGAAAAAGTTTGAATCTACAGCTGGTATGAATTGTAAAAAAGGAGAACCTCCCAACCAATGTTGTTTCTTATCTTCCCATGAGGTCTTTATTTTCGGGGTCTCGCTATTCTAATACATACCCACCTCAAGTCTTCGTACTCTGCATGTCCAGACCGTGCCCCAAAAGCAGCTCCAAAAACCTCCGCGATGCCGGGCCTGCTTCGCGAGTTGCAGGCGGACGGCTCCAACGGTTTATCCCACAACGAATGGGACTGCCATATTTAACTCAGTAAGCTTCTTGTTTCTACTAAAGCTTCTTGTTACTACTAGTAAGGCACTTGATACTAGAAGCGATGCACTTGTTCCTAGTAGCTTCTTGTTTCTACCATATTTAACTCACCATGAGAGTCCAAGTTTGACTCATTTTACCACCAGTGGTGGATTGTGACTACCAGGTGGAGTAGTTCATGAGTCATTGAATTAGAAGTTCCGGGTGTTGGGGTGGTTTCAGTAATGTATAGGCAGGGTATAAAAAGCACTGCGCAAGCTAGTCAATAGACCTTGTCTGGGTGGTTTCACAGATAGTTTATGTTCAACCTTTGCTTGGGATGATGGAACCCACTGACTCATATGGTGCTCGACAAGAATGTCACCAAAGACGAGTGACAGCAAGTTCTTCGCCAACCGGACTCCAAACCAACCGGATGACCGGGCTCCAAGGCGGCCGAACCCGGAATTGCTGAATCCACATCTGCATCAAATTCCGTCAGTTTTCTACATTTGAGACACAAAAGGCAATCTGAATCTCTCCCTGCTCCAGTCGCTCCGCTCCAGTCCCCAACCCCCCATCGACCCAGTCTCCTCGTAGGTCTCCTGAGTCGCGTTTTGGTACGGTCGCCGAGGTATTCCGAACATTCCAGATCCCGGCATGTCGTGAGGATCAAATCCGTTGGTTGAGGCATCTCGTGCTTCTCACGTTGCCAGCTTTGTGCACGTAGCTTCTTGTGACGTTCGTAGCGATGGCCTCCACCCCAGTAGCGATGTGTTCCAATCGGCAACGGAATCGTCCGCCCTCGCGTCTCGCTGCCCAGACCCTGGGCGACTGGTGGACTTCGGCGCCGTATCTGGTCTAGAAGAGTTGCACTCCGAGGATGTGTTTCCTACCCAGCCAGTGGGTCACCTACAAAACTCTTTTTGAGGGATAGGCTTCCCCACTAAACAAGAAAAGGTGAACCTTGAATTTGAAGCAAACTAAAGAAGTCGAAGTGGAGTGAAAAACCACCTGTTTGCTATTCGGATGTCATGTTCATCCGAAATCGGGGGCCATGCCATCCTAACCACGACTAATTGTAGCTCTCATTTTGCAACAAGCATTCGTTTTTGGGATCCGTTTTGTGGGTCTACTTCTGATACCAAAGGCACTTGGCTTTGTACATTCGACGGCCACAAACCTCATGAATCTGAAGGTAGACATACGCTATGACCTTTGAAAAGAAAGAAGTGAACAAACCCCATGTGTTCATATTTTCCAGTATTCTTCATGTTTTCACGACCTAAGGTCCAAGATGTTCAAAGCCCCAAAGACGGTCTTTGACCAAAGCCCGCAGGCGGTGTTTCCTGGGAGCGCGGGGAGCGCGGGGGGTGCCCATGTAAAGCTTCATGTGGAGGGCGACATTGACGAGCTGGCTCGGTAGTGGGCAAACGAGAAGCATAGTGGGCTTCCACATTGTTCATTGATTCCACATTGTTCGTTGTGTCCTTCTCGAAGCTTCCACATTGACCCTTTCCCACTTGGCCCTTAGAATCTTCAACACACTGATGCACCTCAAGCGGTCCCATCTTCTCCCTCTTTAAAGCCCTATACTAGCGATGGCCTCCGATCATTCACCGTCCCACACCGGGCCACGCGGCAAAATGAACGGCTCCTAATTCGCAGCTGGACATAGATCTCAGAAGAACCGGCATAAGAAGCAACGAGAAGCTACTAGGAGCTCCTGGCATCGCTACGAGCAAGGACGCTACTAGGGGCTCCTGGCCGTACTACTAGGAGCAAGTAAGCTACTAGGAACAAGAAACGCCCCAAAACACCCAATGAATCCCAATGAGTCGTCGAGATGTCGCTCCATTTTTCCCGCCCAACTACTCCCAACTCGTGATGATGAAGGGTCGAAACATGTCGCGAGTTCACGGCAGGACAACGAGGCACACGAAGAGGAAGAAACGAAAGTAGAAACGAAGTCGAATCTTATTCAAATCTGGTGGTGTCGGGTGATCATAGGTGATCAACTTCAAACACCTCTTTACTCGAGTGAGTGGTGCCTCTGAAATGACGGTGTTTTTCTTTTCTCATCCATCTTTAGCTGAGAGGCGTCCTTCTCTTGGATTCTAGGGTGTTGGTTGCAAACTGTACTTGTCAGTGTTGTCATTTTCGCGGTGTTCTTGCCAGTGCAGTCACTTGTCAGTGTTGTCTCCTAAGTTGTTTCTGTTGGGGGCCAAACCGCCAATATCCATTGCATAACCAGTCAAGAGTGTTAGACACTGCCAATTCGTCATAGCGGCCACGGATTCTAGTGGACGGTGTCTTTCGGCGTCCGCGCCAGAGGAGGACGAGGAAAGTCCTGAGTGTACTCCATCGGTCTCCTGGGTTCCAAATGCCGGTCAACAAAAACCCACCGGTCAACCCGTGGATCACATGATTCCATCAAACGGCATGTCAACCCACGGTTTGGAACCCAAATGGCCTTCCAGGTGCCTCTACCCGAACCCCTCCTCCAAAAAAAGGAGAGAACCTCACTGTGTTTACACGCCAACCACCCGGTACCACCGTGTTTGCCGCCTCTACCGCCATCGTTTGCGCGCAGGTACTCGAGGCGGCACCGTGCGGAGTCCGAGGGCAGACGTTGGTGGCGTGCGACCGTGGATCACCTGCAGCTTCTTGTTTCTAATAGCTTCTTGTTACTACTAGCGTGGCACTTGTTACTACTAGCTTCTTGTTGCAGCCTTTTGGAGAAATTCGATTATAAAAGGCTCAACTCACATCCCTGGCCGCCCTGGCCCCTCCTCGTTTTGGGTTCTTTGTCTTTTTTCAAGCATTTACTCCATGGGCCAGTGTTGAATTCCCTTTTTGGAAGAACTGATCGCCTTTTCTCCACGTTCTTTGGAATATGAACAGATCATGAACAGACGGAGAAAAAGGTGAACAATTGACTTTCCAGGGATCTCCGTCTGGGTCAACAAAGGTTCTCAGGAGGATCCGTGGAAGATGTACGCACGCGCGTCGCACCATGGGAATGGAGATTTCTAAGCACCACGATGCGCTTAGGCGAAGAGAACGTTCTCCCCGAACGAACTTGGTGAGGCTTGATGACATCAGTCATGGGAACCACGTTTTGTCCACTGAAATTCTTAATTTAATATCTTCAGACACTGAACGCTTGCGTGGCACTTCGAAGAGGGAAGATGGGTGGGAAGACTTCTGACTGATCTTGTCATGGGTCTTCCCACATGAGCCTCACATGAGCCTCATGGTGCTTCGCAATGTAACACTAGTTTCTAATAGCTTCTTTGTTACTACTAGTAAGGCACTTGTTACTACTAGCGATGCACTTGTTACTAGTAGCTTCTTTGTTACTACTAGTAAGGCACCTGTTACTACTAGCGTGGCACCTGTTACTACTAGCGTGGCACCTGTCACTTCGCAGACTCCTTGCCGTCCACAGTGAGGGAGGAGTCCGGTTCCTCGACGTCCGCGAAACGAATGGCGACGCACTCGGGTGACCGAACCCGCAAACTGGGCGGCCCAGGCCCATACGAACTCGACCGGGGCGATCTACATGGGACCAGGCGGAGGGTCGGGGGATGGGAAGGAAGGAGAAGCTTTTGGAAGTTATTGTGTGTACAAACGCGCCATCTCAATGATTCAATTCAGAGGCTGCAGACTTAGGATGTCTTCAGGCAAAATACGGCAAAAGTCTATCCACTTGAACTTAAAAATCAGTCCATGTGGGGTCTGTGAAGCACATCGACATGAGGATGTCTCTTTCACATCGCCCAGGCACATTGTGCCAGCTTCTTGGCAGGCGCAGTAAGTCAGGGCAGTCAAAGCACATGGGCAGGAGATGTGGGAGAGAAATCATCATGGTTCCCTGGATGACACGGATGAGAATGACCTCGAAGACTCGGATCACCATCAAAAGAAAACCAAATACCAAACAGGTGCTGGGTTTTACTCCATGTCTTTCAGGGGGGACTAACAATCCATTGTTCTAGAAGTCGCAAGACTATATGTTGCTCCAGTGAAATAAAGAAAAGTCCCTTTCAGGTACCCTGAAGACCATTCCTTGTATAGTCTTTGACTCTCAGGGATTTCCTTGCTATTTTGAGTCTGAGGAAATCGAACATCAGTTGCAAACTGCTGTGGTGAGCCTGTAACTGTTCCAAGATCATGGGCACATCTTCATGTGTTCTAGGATGTTCTAGGGTTTCCCCCTCGCTTCCGATAGTTTTTAGGACCCCGATTAGGACCCCGAAGCAAGCAGCTGAATAGGGTCTTCCGAAGCAAAGTAGACAGACTGTCCCACAGGATCAAGTTCGACTTCGTGGGTAGCAGAAATTCCACCGGAAGCTTGAACCCAAAAGGCTAAGGCTCCAGACACTCCATGTTATAGTTACTTACACTTAGGGTCATAAATCAAATGGGTATGTAATGGTATGTAAAATATATAATGTCCATTATAAAAACATTCATAAACCTACCGATAAATTCTTAGGACAAATCCAAAAAAACAGTATTTAATAGCCTATGTGTTCTTCATTGTTTTTCTGTTTGCCGTAGAAATGTGTAGGTTTAAGGTTTACCGGGTATTACATGCATGGTCTGGATTCAGAATCCCATATGACCTATGACAAGGTCCGGAAATCTCCAAACCCTCCTACGGCGCCGCGGAGGGGCGCCACAACGCGAGACGTTGGACTCCAACTTCAGTCGAATTGGTTCAGGATTGGCCCAGATCTAAGGTTGTCTAACTAACCCTTCAGCGACAGGCTTGTCGCGATGAAGCTGTGATTGGATGAAGCAATATGAAGCATGAATATGGCAGGCGAGGTACACTTTCATGCTCCCATTGACACCGTCCGGAGCCTCATTGCTGAACGATCACTCGATGTGTGAGGCTGTTTTCGGACATGGTTGGTTTCAACATGTTTCAACGGTTTAAAGAAATCAAGGATTTGGCCATTCTTTTCCTGCGGGTCTTTGGTGGACGTTTCGCCGGCCTCAATGCCCGACCGTTTGGAAGAAGAAGAAAAAATAAAAACACGTGTCGACGTGGCTTCGATGCTGAGCGGTCTTTTTTTAACGTAGTGGGCTGGACATGTCCTTTTGCCCTTTTTTTTGCCCAAATACCCAAGAAAAGTGGACAACATTGGACAACCTTTCACCTTATTCTGGAGGATTGGTTTCTCCACTAAACATATATCATATAAAAGTTAACTTTTTTTCCACACTGAGGGAGTTTGCTTTTGACTATGGCCAGCCCCTTTGACGGGTAGGAAGAGCCCCCGAACCAGCCCCCCACAGTTGTGCGAAACGGGAGTCTCGAACGAACGCGGGCCGGACCCACCTTCAGTGCGAATGCCAAATCGACGCCTTCAAGTCTCGGCAGTTGGCATGGCGCGAGACAAGAGAAACCTCGCGAGTGTACATAGGCCACTCACACTTTGAGCCACTCGCTTGGAAGTGGAACATAGGGATTTGGAAGACCAGTTTGCCTTTGCTTTGCAGAGGCGTGTTGGAGGCCATCGCTAATAGAAACAAACAAAAGAAAAGTAAGGCAGGTCTAATGTTGTAGTAACAAGAAGCTACTAGTAGCTCCTGGCATTACTACTAGTAGCAAGCAGCTACTAGTAGCAAGGTGCCTTACTAATATAGTGTGCTATGAGGAACAAGTGCATCGACAGGGGCACTACTAGTAACAAGAAGCTACTAGTAGCGATGCCCAATGTTGTAATATAGTTTGCTATTATCTAGGGTGATGCCAAGACGACAGCGCTTTCGACTGAGGCAGCCGCCAGCCAGGAAGCCCAGTCGGCCACGAAGCGGTTGGACCGTTGGAGTGTGTTGGGACTGGTGACCCAGATTCCGCATTTTGTCCAAAGGTTTGGCGGGGGTTTGAAAAGAAGAGTGTTGTGCGGGCTGAAGTATTTGCTACTGATGGGTCCCCTGGGTCAATGGTTTGATGTTCATAGGATGAGGATGAAGAGCTAGGAGCAAGTGTGAACAAAAGAGCTACTAGTAACAAGTGCATCGCTTCTAGTAACAAGTGCCTTACTAGTAGTAACAAAGAAGCTACTAGTAACAAGTGCATCGCTAGTAGTAACAAGTGCCTTACTAGTAGTAACAAAGAAGCTACTAGTAACAAGTGCCACGCTAGTAGTAACAGGTGCCTTACTAGTAGTAACAGGTGAGTGTGAACAAAAGAGCTTCCACTTCAGATCCGGAGAGAAGTCTCTTACTGTTCTGGCAGGTGGTTTCAGCCCAGTTCGACAGGCATGCAGCAGCATGTCTTCCTTTTCCATGTCCCACTTTTCGCATTCAGAAGATGGTGATGTTCACCTCACAAGGAGTAGAAACACGAAACACTCCTTTAATCCTTTGGACACCACCAAATGCTGCACCAAAGCCTCTGGCTCGGAGTCGCAGAATCGATTCCATCAACAGCTGGAGAGCGGATCCAAAATACGCATTCCATGCCTTCAGCAAGGTGCCTCAATGAAACTCTGGGCCATCCATGGAAAGCTGGACATTTCAGGGGAACAAGACATGGCGGGCACTGGGACCGATCTTCCACTTGAGTGGCTGATTCTTGGCCAGGCAGTGGGTGAAATTCCCTGTGTTTGGTGGGGTCCGTCATGTTTGTTCCATTCATACACCCATAGTGGCTACTGTTGAAGCCACTTGTGAAGGGCAGAGAGACCTAAAAGATTACGAACCCATGTGTCCGGTCTTGAGTGGCCTACGGAACGGTTAAAGGAAAACGGTTAAAGAACGGAACTGCCACATGATCCTTCTACTTCGGCTCACCCTGCAACATGATCGAGAGTCTGGTCATGTCACATGTCACAACTTGCTTTGTGCTTTGCTTCATATGCTTCTTGCTACTTGCTACTTAATGCCCTTGTTACTACTTGCGATACCCTTGTTACTAGTAGCTTCTTGTTACTAGTAGTAATGGCCTCCACCCTAGTAGCGATGGCCTCCAACCTAATAGCATCCTTGTGCCTAGTAGCGATGCCGATGCCCTTGTTTTCATGGACAGGGAGCTGGCAGGCTCTAGCAAGTTGTAAGTTTGGTTTCGGAGTCGTGTCAGCAAGTTTGGTGGCGTTCAGATGAGGTTGCTAGCTACAGCATCATGTCAAAACGGTTTTCTTGGAGGTTGTCATGGCAAAGAAGCATTTGAGGCTATCGCATTTAGGTTGGAGGCCATCGCTCTTAGGTTGGAGGTCATTTCTCTTTCTATTTCTATTTCTTTGTTACTGTTAAGAGATTTATCCAAGTAGTGATGGCACAGAAGCAGTCGTGGCAGCGTTTTTCTCCACGCCCAGCTTCCACCTACACCACCAGTTCGAGCGATGATGACTTGCCGGGGTCTCAGCGACATGTGGCAGTGTTGGGTCGCAGAACCCCCAACATAACACGTGAAGGCAGATGTATCAACCAGCTTGGGCAGGTGAAAGTGTATGAACGTGTCCATTTGGAACTGGCCATGTGGTGGATGGCTTTGGACGCTACGAACGGGGCTCCTGGCCTTGGCCTGTCACGGTGTTCTTCCGGGGGGAAAATCCAAAAGGAAGTTGCACAACAAACAACATGTTCTCACAGGTGCACCTGATCATTTGTTTCGTCCAGTTACAAGTTTGTTGTGCAACCTGAGTGCCGCAAAACGTCAACCTCGACCTCGACGCACATGTACTGCATGTGACCGTTCGTACAGAGCCAACATGTTATCATGCCATATCATATCCACTCAAGGGTTAGTTGTTTCGGACGTGTCTTTCAAAAACATCATTTCTGAGTGCTTTCGCAGGCTGCCTTGGATCATATTTAACCATATTTCACCCAATCCGTATGATCGAGCGGGTCGTTGCTGGTTCTGTTTGAGACCCATCAGCACTCTCCTCCATTCAGATCCCAAGGGCTCGACCGTGGTTCTGGACCGGTTTGGTGGTGTCCGTGCTGGAGGCTATCCCCGTTTAATTCTATTTCTAGTTCTTGTTTCTAATAGCTTCTTGTTACTAGTAGCGATGCCCTGGGCCCTACTGAATTCCTTTGTGCCATCGCCCAGGCTCGGGGTGATGTACCTTTGTTCGGTTGGTTTTGGCGTTCCAACTGCTCTGCCGCTGTGGGAGGGGAATCCAAGAGAATCTTGCACAGGAACCTCGAAGTATTTTTGTTTGCCCCTGCATGAATGGTGCAGGAGAACCTCTAACAATACTATTCCATTGTGGGACACATCACAGTCAACAAAGGAGTATCACTATTTAAAAGAAAGGCCTGCAACCCAGCCATCATCATCCACTGGGCCCCAGTAATGGTCCCAAAGTCTAGGGTAGTACAGCCACTACGCCACAGGACACGATGCTCCAGGTACCTTTGGATCGGTTTGATGCCCAAAGAGTTTTACAACCCCGGCACCCAACTCAACAGGTTTTTGACCGGCCCTGTCGATGGCATGCTACGTTCACGCGCTACGTTCGCTGGGAAAAACACGTTGTTTGAAGTGGTTTCTGGTCGAACGATTTCTGACCTGATCGGTCTAGGACCAGTCCCTTTGCTTCAAAGCAAGCCTTACATCCTGGTTCTGGCTACTGGCCGCTCTGGCTGGGTTTGGAGGGTGAGGGGTGGAAGCATCAAAATTGCTTTTGGGCACGAGATCTGGGGCATATGTACCTAGAGGACACCAAATGAACACCAACAAGTCAACAGCCTGACGGTTTCAGGGACAGGGTTGAGATCCGTTTGGGATCATACCCACCTGACAGCAGTGGGAAACGTCGCACCATCCCAAAAGGGGTGAAGTGATCAGTGATTGTTGTAATTCAATACTCATAGCCATTGTGGTCATTGTGAAATACGCATAACCAACCTAAGGTTGACGTTGATGGTTAGTCATTGTTTTTCACTGTTTGGTGATTCCATATCCGGTATGGCTTGTCTCGGGTGTTTTGGCTTTTGTGTTGGCCTTCTTCGCTGCGAGGGTGAGATTGGACCGTCATGGGATTATTTGAAACCATTTTACGTTCACCGAGCGCTCCACTGTTTGTTGACGAGGAGGAAGGGCCCAGGAAAGGACATGTACGACTGACATCAATGACTTGTACGACTGGCAGTCTTTTTGCGGTGTTTTGTTCTTACAGTAAGGCTGCAGTTGCATGTCATTAGCAGCTATAGAATAGGCATTGGCAACATGTGAAATAGACCAGTGGTTCATGATGGTTCACGTTTTGCTTCAGGATGGTGTAGGTGGCTTCCAGACGTCTCGAAACGGGTCCTGTACCACAATCCCGCTGGAGGGAGATGTTGGGCGATTGCCCAGACGGCGGACTTGGATTTCCCCGGTTGAACACCACAGGAACCCGAAATGAAAAGAACACCCGAACTGGAACCACAAGCTATAGTAGTAACAAGTGCCACGCTAGTAGTAACAAGTGCCTTACTACTAGTAACAAAATAGCTTCTTGTTACTAGTAGTAAGGCACTTGTTACTACTAGCGTGGCACTTGTTAGTACTAGTAAACACCCGAACTGCTGGAACCACAAGCTTGTCCCTGTTCCAATCTTGATCGCCACAATCCCAACGGGCCCTCCATGGCATATCGGATGAACACGGCCGCAACCGACCGGAACCGAACCGGTGGCAGGTGCTCCACCGGGACCCATGATCCGGACGAGCTCGTCGTGCCTCGGCGTGGGCGGTCGACCACGCAGTCGTTTGGGTGTTGAGCTCAATTCTTTTTGAGGGGGGAGAAGGTCGCCCCAGGTGTTCCGGTGTGAAGAAAAGCATGGCAGATAAGGTGTTTCTTCTAGTAATAACATTTAGGATGGTATTGGCCATCATGACCTCGAAGTGAAAAGGCTTCGGGGACTGAACCAACATCAATGCGCCTCTTCGTCCCTCTTCGCTTCCTCTCTGCGGTTCTGCACTTCGATGCTTTCAGACGTGGACGGGCATTATGCACAAGCGGAGGAAGGTTCGAGCGGTGAAGGTCTCCTGGGCGTGGAGCCCCAGGTCGGTCGACCTATCGCATGGGCACGAAGAGGGCGCAGACAGCAGAGCAGACGGCGGAGGGGACGTGTCCACGTTGGAAGAGTGGAATGGAAGGGAGGATCTGCCGGTAGACTAGACGTGACCCCTTTGATTGCGTTGATCCTGTGATGTTTTTCAGGATCCAGATGTTAAAGGAAAAAAAGAGGTAAAAAGTATGAAGAAGACATTCTCACCTAAAATCCTGAAACCATTGATTTTGCTGGCATCATGCATCAGAAGCAGCACACTGTAATTTCTTCCAGGAGGCAATGAGATTGCCAACCTGTGATTGGATTTCAAGATCTGACTTAAGCAGAGAAGACGTCCGAGCTGAACATTTAAGTGAACATAGCCGTGACGCACATGGTCAAGACAGTCCGCACACCACTGCAGCATCCACAATTTGCACCCACCTTTTGTTCACCGGCCTGTGTTTTGAAAAAAAAAAAAATGTGTTTGACCTTCACCAAAAGACTCCCATGATGAACAAATCACATGATTATGAAGGTTTTGTTGACCTTCACAATCATCATGATGATTCCCCCCCAAACCACAACCTCTTTGAACGTCCCTTTGGCCAAGGCCTATGCACCGGGCCAGGTTCGTGTGCGCACCACCCCCGATGGTCGCCATTGGGAGACGGTGTGGGCGCTCAGCCATGGCGATCGATGGTGTGGTGGCCTTTACTACTAGGAGCAAGAAGCTACCAGGAGCAAAGGGCATCGCTACTAGGAGCAAGGAAGCTACTAGGGGCTCCTGGCCTCGCTACTAGGAGCAAGGACGCTATTTACAATCTGGGTGTGTCTTACCATGTCTTACCCTACTGATCCAGTCGTACCGAACCTCAGGTTCGGTACGACTTGACCTGACGTTTTGGCACCTACACAACAGTGTCTCCTTCTTCACCAGAGAAGGGTACGAAAATGGATCCCTAGAGTTAGAATAGGGAGACCCAGTGGGAGACCCCTAATTGACCCCCTGGAAGAAGGAAAATAGAGATTTGTGGAGGGTGTCCCTATGAAAAAGACACGCCCATCTTTTTTCCCAACCACTTGAAGACTTGTCCTCTATCTGGCCGGGGTGAATTCATGAATTCCCAGCCCGTTCCACAAACGAACACAAAGTATCACATTGCATAACCTTGGCTTTGCGTTCTAACATGAGCCAGAAACAAGCAGGTGGTCGTTCGCACGGCTCAATATTGCAGTGAGTGGGGAGCAGTGAGGGAACATCACAGAAGAAACGGGTGGTTGTAGGTTTTGCGTGCAACTTGCAGGCTTGGTATCCAAGGATGAACCCAAAGAAGTTAAGATACAATGCAGACGTTGCTGAGGTTCACACGCGTTCAAGCTCCGGCGAAACCTGTTCCCGAAATTTGGATCAGCCAGACGCATTTTGAAGGTGGAGGGTGGTCATCAGCTAGAGGGGAGCAGAGAATCACTCTGAAAAGTACAGTAGTTTCAGAACATGGATAGTCCGGGCCGGTCCGGGCGGGCCGGGCCACCGCGGGCCGGGCCACTGCGGGTCGGTCCGGGCGGTCCGGGCCGGTCCACTGCGGTCCTTCCATTTGTATAGGTCCTTTGTGGAATCCACCAAACCACACCTCAAATCCACCGCCCCAGCGTGGCGTAAGGAGACCACCTGACGCAGTGGGCAAAGGAAGAACCTATGCATCAAGATGTACCCACAAACACTTTATAGAGGATGGATCGGCTGGTTTTTTAGTCTGTGCGAATAAACCCTTTTCTAATATTGTCGGTCTACGGAGCTGTACTTGGGGTTTAGTTTTGATTAAATCCTTTTTGGTCGAGTAAGGGCCCTCACTCGATCACAAAGGGTTTACATCCTGATCCAAACCCCAAACCCAAGGGTATGAATATCAATCGACCAAAAAGGGTTTAATCAAAACTAAACCCCCATTCCAGCTCCGTAGACCGACAACAGTAGAAAGGGGTTTATTCGCACAGACTAAAAACACTTTGCCGATCCCTCCTCTAACATGTTTGTGGATACATCTTGATGCATAGATTCTTCCTTTGCCCACTGCGTCAGCTGGCCTCCTGACGGCTGCGCCGGGGAAGGGAGTTCGCACGGGCCGGGCCGGGCCGGGCCGGGCCTCGGGCCGGGCCGGGGTCAACGGTAGACCCGGCTATCCATGCAGAATAGATGGCACAAACTCCAAGAGAATTTTTAGATGGGGTCCGTATAAACCACCGAACTTGGGGTAACTTGTGCCATCTTACCTGAAACCACTATATTACAACCCCTCTGTGTGGCTTTGAGATGGTGGGGTCATTTTGAGATTCTTTTCGATGGAAAACTAAAGCACTTGACCGGCGAATGGCTGGAGGTTGGTTCAAAGCTGGGCCAGAAGACTTATTGCATCTTGAGCTGACTACCCGGTGATGGAAACAATTTTTTAGGTCAAGTCATTCAGCCTGCCTTTTGGACATGTTTGATTGTATCAACGCATGGAGGCAATAGAGCGGTTTACGTAAGTCACGCCTGACGGGTGTGTTTTGCAGCCCCGCCGAATGCATCGCTACCAGTAGCTTCTAGCTACAGCTAGTAGCTTCTTGTTACCTTCAATAATTCACTTAGTGAAGTGCGTAGCGATGCACCTTGTGACGTTCGTCTCCATATTCCAACCCTTCTTCACGTATCCCAAGTCCCTTCCGGCAAGCCAAACCGTTCGACGTGGCGAAGCAAAAGTCGACGTGGCGTTCGCAGTGCTTCGACCTGTGCTTCGGGTCACCAAGCACGATCTTGTTTGATCAGTCCCCAATCCTTAAGGTCTTAGGTGCAGAATCTGATCTTCATCCTGCGTGACTCCGTATGACTCCGAATGACCCCGTAGGAGCGAAGAACCCACGCGCTGCTATTGGGCGAAGTGTTTCAGATCCACGTGAATTTCTCATCAGGTGGCACGGGTGCTTGCCACAAGTGACAGAACCCCCGTTCCAAACAGATACAAACCACCCTATGCATGGGACTTCTCAATGAAATCCTCTACTCTCGAGCGAACGACAAACGGACACTCTCTACATCGCTCCCTCGCCCCGCTGGCGGTCTGACACTTCGAATGGGATCTGTTCAGCCACCCGGGGGTTTAGGGTTTAGGGTGCCCCGGTGCCATGACGCATGTCGTCATAGTTCGTCATATTAAAGTACATTGTTGTTTTTGGCTGCACGCCGTGAAGCTCTTCCGCTCAAGACCAGGAGAAGGTTCACATGTCTTTCAGTCTTAGTCTTAGTAGCTCATTCGTCATGATTCCAATCGCTAGAAGTGCAGGGTGTTCACAGGTGTGTTCACCATAGCTGTAGCTGGTGGTGGAACTGAGCCTGTATCTCATGTGCGCATGGGGCCCGCAGTCGCTTTGGGAGATTTATGAACACCAGGCACAGGGTGTCCACCTGGCAGGGTGGAATTTTGGGACATGTTGTGATGTGACATGGCTCATAAGGTAGGAGCAAAGGACTCTACTAGGAGCAAAGGGCATCGCTACTAGGAGCAAGGGCCTTACTACTAGGAACAAGAAGCTAGTAGAAACAATAAGTAAATAGACTTTAATTAGAATTAGATCATAACGCAAGACTCAGGGCCCTACAGGTTTTTTCATCGTATTGTCGGCCACAGCCAACGCGGTGAGGGTCCTGGGTGTGGATGACCAAGAGCGGGAAACTGGAAGGTGGAACAATACTAGCGATGCACTTGTTTTGCTAGTTTCTTGTTACCAGTAGTAAGGCCAGGAGCCCCTAGTGGCGTCCTTGCTCCTAGTAATTGCTTTCCCTGCTAGTGCATTCAGAACTCTTAGTTCTAGATCCAACTGCAGGATCAGCGATTCTTTGGCACATGACGGAGGTAACAATGCCAATAGAAGGAAACGTTTTGAAGGTGAGCGATTTTTTCTTTAGAGAGGGGGGGCGTGTTTGGATGAACAGTTTCACTTAGGTCACTAATTACGTTTCTCCGTTTCTCTGATGCCTACTAGACTCCTTCACTCCCTATCCGGGATCTTTAGCAGCTGGATGCGCAAACAACTCGTGTTTGGAAGCATGTTTATCACCAGTGCGAAAGAAGTGGTCTCTCCTGTAGATCGTGGATCTCCGTTGGACTCCAGAATGCCAAACATCGACCATGGGGGAGCCATCATGAGCCATCTGCTGCGCTCCATCCTCATTTGCTGCGCCAGATGTTGTTTTATCATGTTTTAGGAACAGCCACTGCAAATCTCTTGGACGAACTTCGGGCGCTTGAAAAAAAAGCAAGGCCCAAGGACGATGAACCTCTTTCACCGGTGCTCTTGGAATGGTGCCCATGTGTTTCATCTCAGAACTCTTGGGACTGCAGAAAAAATGGAACTGACCATGGAGAGTCCCCCGAAGTCCTAAAGCTTGTGAATGGCCGAGGTGTTCGGTTCACCAAATTTTCAACTCAAACAAAAAAGCAGGTGTTCATGGTACACTCCCTGAAACGATCGAAGAGTATCGCATGGCCCGCCTATTTTGAGGCCTGACGTCTGAGGCTGAGCGAGGACGTCTGAGGGAGTTGGTACCCAGTGGGTACTACCCACTCCGTGTTTTCTTTCCAAGACTTCACCTGGAAACCCATGGCCAACCGTCCACCATGTAGCGGGGATGGGTCAATACTACCTGGACATCCTGTCCACATCGTCCACCATGTAGCGAAGGACCTAGCGTCGCAAGGTTCAATCATGGTCTCCTGGTGCCATGACCCACAGCCATATGGCGAAATGAACTAATGGTTCTTCCACTCTTCTTTGGGCTTCAGGAAGGTATACCGTACCAGGCAGTTTCCAATGGTCTCATCGTCTCGCTCAAACGCCAACCAACGCCAAACGCCAACCAACAGGCACCGTCTACTCCACGTACGTCTGACGGTACTCGTCAGGCACGGGAGTCTCCAGAGGCGACTGCTGTGGTCTGTGGAGAGTCCTGCGAAGTGGCACTGTCATATCAAGGACCCGGGACGGTCGGTTCGGTCCGGAAAACGCGGGGAAGCGGGTCGGGTTCAGACAAGTGATAGCAGACCAATTGGCCAGAGAGAGAAGACCATTTGAAGAACCCCGGAAGCTAGAAATGATCTAAACATTTGACATTTGAAAGCAGAGGCTCAAAATGACCATGCCACCCCCTCTCTATTCCAACCAGGACATGCATGCAAACCCAAGTGCCAACAAGGACTGTTTTCATCGATTCTCCCCCCGCGAGCCTGGGAAGTTTTTCTGAGAAGGTGGCTTGAACCGAGCAGTGCGGCCTCCAACCTATAGCAGCGATGGTCTTGGCTTGAGACCTCCTGGCTCTGAAAAAACAAGGCTTGACTTGCAGATGTGGCAGCAAGGCCGTTCTCACCTCCCCTACAGAGCGGCCCGGGTATAAAGGCCGTTCTTGCACAAAATGCCACATACCACGTGCCTAGTGAAACCGAATCACAACCAAAGAATCCACCTGGAAGGATGGAGGAAACCTCCAGATATCCACCAGAATCGAACACTAAGAGTCCATATGACTCATTAACATGCATTAACTAGTTCAGTTTGGTTCGTCAAGTCACGGAAGTTCTGGGGAAAAACCAGACGTCAACCCCAAGCGTCTCGCAAAGGCCCCGAAACCCGGTTTCACGGGCGAACCACTAGGACTCGTGAGCCGCAGCAGCTGTTGGTCCGTGCACCTGGCGCACCTTGCCGTGCGTGTTGCGTCGCACAATGTCTGGAGCGGCGAAGGGGCTGAGCAACCTCAAAAAGAATGGGCTGTGTAATTTTTATTGGGAGGTCTCCAAGCAAGGGTTTTTTTGTATGTTTTTGTATGTCTTTGTCTATGACTGGTCTATGTTTCTTCTTCCAGGGATGTTAAACCGAAGGTCTCCCTGTTTGAATACACAGGAAATGCTGCTGGGATGGATATTCATACCTGGATCTTGCAACTGCGCCAAATTCATGGCATACTTGAAAACATGCAGATGGCAAAAAGAATTCCCTAGCCTTCAAAGACCATTCAAAAGAGTGGTAGACCTGGTTTTGTCGTGAAAAACCCTTAGTAAAACAATGGTTGCTGGAATCCCAAGGAATATAGTTGGAAGATCCATGGCCAATGGATCCCTCCATCTTGGCCGCACGAATCTGGCTGTCCGATCACAAGCCGGTAGTAGCGAGGACGCTACGAACGGAGCAAAGGGCATCGCTATCGCTACGAACGGAGCAAGGACTCTACGAACGGGGCTCCTGGCATCGCTACTAGGAGCAAGAAGCTACTAGTAACAAGTGCATCGCTTCTAGTGACAAGTGCCTTACTAGTAGTGACAAAAACGCTACTAGGCGCTCCTGGCATCGCTACTAGGAGCAAGGACGCTACGAACGGAGCGATCAGACGCTGCGAACGGGGCTCCTGGCCTTACTGCCGATCTTTGGCGTTGCCCCGTTCGTAGCTTCTTGTTCCTAGTAGTAAGGCCAGGAGCTCCTAGTAGCGTCCTTGCTCCTAGTAGCGCTGCCAGGAGCCCTATCAAACCGGAAAGCACATATCTTGGGACAGGAATCATTCAAGCTGGTCTGTCTCAATTGGAAAGTCACATCCACCAACAGAGAACCCTTTCGTATTGAGACCGTCAGTACCACATGCCAAATGAGAAGACAAAAGTTTTTCAACACCAGAGGTATCATCCACCTTGACCACTGTTGACCGCTGATTTGGTAGATCGAATCACTCGCTTAGTAAGCAGTTAGTACTGGAATCTACTTGATATTTCTTGTGGTCATTCAGATACCCACAGACTCAGCGACTCACGGACTTATTGAACTATTGCGACTCACGGTGCTTCTTGGTCATGAACCCAAAAATAACATTGAGCCACTTTGGCAAATTGCTATGGACATCATGTCGAACCTATCATGGCCATACAAAACATGGATGCCGTAATAGGGATGCGAGTTTACCAAAACCATCGATGCAACCATCCTCCGCGCGGAACCCGCCGAGGTCGTCCCAAGTGGAACGAGGTCGAGCAGCACTTTTCGCTGAGAGGACTAGTGAAAGGGATCAACTGGGTTGTCTCAATAGGAGAAGGCTTGCCAAACCGGTTCAAGATGAACACGTCCAGAAAGAGGGGTTCTTTGGTAGGGTCCCTGCATGAAGACGCAAAGCCTTAAAGTGATGAGAATTGAAAGGTGTTGCATGTCTTTCCTGTTCATTCCCTCTTGTGTCCTTTCTTAGTTGCAAGGTTTGGGTGGAGATAGGTATAGTTTCATGTAGCTTGTTTTGACAGCAATCAGAAGAAGGAACAAGGGTCCATGCAGCATAAAGTGCAAACAATTGAAATTCTTCTGTATGGAGATAGACATGTCATGGGCAGGGGCACCGCAATGACTTGACCTCTGCACTAGTTGAGTCACCTTGATGTTCGGGAAACGTCCAAACCTAGTTGTGAAAGTAAAAACAATGCCACTTCTCACACAGTTGGACCTGCCAGGTAAGCAGGCCTGTCAGCCAAGATTACCATTCTTCAAACCAACGAATTTCGAGAGGAGCAAGGCGAATAGCACGGCGAGTAGCAGTATGCGACAGTTGAAATTCAGATTACAATGATGTTTTACATGTAGAAATATCGTAACAAGAACCTTGGGCGTCCTAAAGCTACTGGGCGCTTGGGCAGGTGTTTGGGCTTTCGTGATGCGAACTCGTGAAGCGAGACCGACGTGCGTGGGTCGTCCCAATTGGCCGAGCGTTTGCTTCCTTGTCCGACGGAGGGGAGCATGGTCGAGTGACGGTGCATGGGTTTAACATGTGTTTTTACATGGGTTAAAGAACCAATGGAATCACTCGGAACCGCTCGACCATCTCCGAGATTCTCATGAATTTTAACATTGTTCATTGATGGTCCTGAGAATCTCGGAGAAGTGTCACAAGAACTATGAAGAAAAGTGTAGCTAGTTCTTACCAAATGGATCTCAACCTTTCGACCTGGTTCGACCTGTTGATCTTCCCAGACTAGACGGTCTAGGACCTCAGTCTTTTTCGATAAATCCGATGAGAACATGGTCAGGACGCAGGTGGACTTTTTGCCACTGATCCTGGCCTTAGCACGGTGCGGATGGAGCTTCGTGCTCCTCAGTGACGCGACCAACTTGAAGAGCTCGCACGGTCGCGTGATAGGTGTGGTGACAGTGACGAGGCCTTTTTTAGGAATGCAGGTGAAACAGGATCTATATAAGGGATATCTACGACCGGAGCGGTCAGGGCATCGCTACGAACGGGGCGCTCCTGGCCTTACTACGAGACCGCTCCGGTCAGGGCATCGCTACGAACGGAGCGGTCAGGGCATAGCGTCTCGAATCTCTCGTTTGCGTCTTCCAAATCACCCCCAGTTCCACGCCACGAAGGAAATCGATAGGAACTCATGGGGCTTTCGCCCCTTTCGGCAGAGGCTGGAACGCACGCGGAACGCACGTGAACGTGGGAAAGAAGAGGTGAAAAGCTTCACGAGCTTGATGTGGGCAAGGAATCAACACCCCACTCCATGGGACTGAGACAGCCTACATCGGGGGTGGCTCGGGGGGGGATCCAATGTAGTAGGCATATATGCCACAGATGTATTTTCCGCAAGATCATCACGGTTTTGGGGTCCCTCAGCATGTTTTACCCACCTCCAGCAAGTCAATGTTCTTGTTGGGTTGGAGATGGTTGGAGGCATAATAGATAGGAACAACTTGGACATGTGTACCTAGAACCAGAGTGACCTATTTTTGCATCACCAGCACCCAACATATGCTCCAACTTCCTATCAAATGCAGGGGTCATCAACCTGGGTTCTAGGTCAAAATGCCGGGGAACCCAGCACTGTCCCAAGGCACTGACTTGCCGGACGCGGAGCGGCAAGAGGCACGGAATGCCTTTCTCTTGGAACACCTCGGCATCGATCTGGTGGTGATTCGGCCGCAGAAGACACCCCTTCACCGTGTGCCGTGTGCCCCGTGGCTGGTTTGGGACGGTCCTGAGCTGGTGAACTTGAGAAGGAGGGTCCCTTTTCCACGGTTTTTGGAGGGTGAAACAGAGGCTGTGTAGAGAGTTGGGTTTTCTCTTTGGGACTCAGCATCTAAGCGGTTTTTGCAGATAAACAGAAACGAGTTTCGGCTTGAACACAAGAGAGAACATGATAAATCATTGAAACCATCATAAATCTTCTCTAGGAGTCACAAAGGGGCGGTTTTTTGTCCTTAAGTGAGTGGATGTGACAGGGGCACCCCACTTCCTCCGTTCGTTCGGCACCCCGTCTTGTGACTACTAGTAGCAAGAACGCTACTAGTAGCTCCTGGCATTACCACTAGTAACAAGAGGCTACTAGGAGCAAAGGGCATCGCTACTAGTAGCTATTTGCTCCTAGTAGTATGGGCCAGGAGCCACTAGTAGCTTCTTGCTACTAGTAGAGATGCCCTTTGTTCCGTTCGTAGCAAGGACGCTACTACTGGCTCCTCCAGGTGCACTTTCTCCACTCAACCGCCCAGGTCGCTGCCCCGGAGCATCATCCGGTTGAGACCCGGGCACGACAGTTCTGCTGGACGCGGGCGCAAGAGCTGGGGGTGCCGTTCTGAGCAGTTTCGTGAGTCGTCGTCGTTGTTCGAAGGGTATGGTTTCGATGCTCCAGACACGACAAATGCGACTGGAAGATTTACAGTCCCTAGAACTAACATGGAAGTGGGTCATTCTCCACCTGCTTGTAGTGGATTTCATGCAAGAAGCTAATAGTAACAAGTGCATCGCTTCTAGTAACAAGTGCCTTACTAGTAGTA